CTACTCCAGCCTAACGAAACTATCACTGGAGAACGTTATCAACAGCAACTGATGCAATTAAGCTAAGAATTGAAGCTTAAACGCCCTCAATATACCAAAAGACATGACAAAGGGATTTTTCAGCATGACAGCGCTCGGCCACATGTCGCAAAAGTCGTCAAGGATACTTTGGAAGTTTTACAATGGAATGTCTAACCCCACCCGCCGTATTCACCAGACATTGCTCCTTTGGACTACCACTTGTTCCGGTCGATGGCTCACGCCCTGGTCGAGCAGCACTTCACTTCTTACGAAGAAGCCAAAAATTGGGTCGATTCATAGGTAGCCTCAAAAGATGAAGAGTTTTTTCAACGTGGCATCCGAATGTTGCCAGAAAGATGGCGAAAAATAGTAGCTAGTGACGGACAATATTTTGAATAAAATGTAACGTATATTTTTTTTACAATAAATTGATAATTTTTATAAAAAAACGGCGGAAACTTATTTATATTACCAATATTTTAGGAATAATTGTAATATCGAAGCGATCGCCTCGATCTTCAACTTCATATTCTCTTCTTTTTGACATTTTGAAGTTGCAGTCGTAAATGCAAATAAATATTTTTAAATAAAATATTTTTCGAAGTAATTATATTTTGATACAACAATAATAATAATATAATATATTATAATCCAAAAATTCAGTGTGAAATTAGTTAAAAATGATTTAGATAATAATAATCATACATACATAATACTAATACAAAAAATTTTCTCCTTATAATTATGTAATAAATTTAGTCTTGATGATATGTAATTTTCAGAGAATGTAAATCACTTACCTACAGAGGCCATACATAAAAATTTCAAGTATTCAACATAAATCACGATCAAAACGAATATCGCGTTGATAATGTAAGGCCCAGAAAAAAGACAAATCCCAAAATTATTGATTATAATTTGAAAAAACTATATAATAAATATAAAAATATGAGTTTTTTACCAAAAAACTCGACTTGGGTCCAATAAGGTCTAAAAATGTGTTGGGCCCAAATTTTGGGACTAGTAATCGCTGTAATTCAATACAATAAGCAACTTTTATTCTTAGGTATTTTTCATTAAAATGCGTTTGGAGCGATTTTTTAGCATTATTCCGTGCATGGAATATGTGCACTGCCGCCATCTTAAATTTCCACCCCAAAAAAATTTTTTTTTAATTTTCAATTCCATATTTTTTAAGAACGATTATCAATGACCAAATTCTAGAACTTTTTAGCATGGTCAAGTAACGTTTTCGAACCGATTTTCAAGATTTTATAAAAATTTGTCGCGTCAAAATCACGTTTTTTTTTGGAATATCTTGGAAAATCCTAAGTAGAACTAAATTTTCCATAATTTTAGTCACGAATTTCGAAAGAGCGACCTCGAAAACATTGGGAATGAAGGTGCCAGAATTTTTTAGATGACTATTTTATCAAAAGTTACACGCTTGAAGTAAACGAAAAATTTTGATCATTTTGGGCATTAATGGGTTATTATTTGATATTGGCTTAATATATTACCGTTCCGTTTTTTTTTTTTGGAAAGTTACATATCTCGCCTGTTTAAAGAAATCATTGTAAGCTCTAAAAAATATTAAAATCTTTTTTTAAAAATTATTTTTGTTGATAATGGAACAGTCGGAAATTCGCACTATTATAAAGTATGAGTTCTTACGTGGAACTACGGCATCGCAGACCGCGAGAAAAATTAATAGCGTATTTGGTTCTAGTGTTACTACGCAGCAGACAGTATCAAATTGGTTCGCCAAATTTCGTACAGGTAACTTTGACCTCACATATAAACCACGCGGTCGCCTAGAATCAAAGGTCAATAATGACGAACTAAAGGTCACCGTTGAGTCTGACCATCTCAGAGTGCCTATGAATTATCGTTAAAGTTTGGTGTTAGCAAACAAACAATATTAACTCATTTAGCTCAAATCGGTAAAGTGAAAAAGTTGGATAAATAGACTCGACATGAACTGAATGAAAAACAGAAACAAAAGCGTTTGTAAGCTTGCTTGATGTTGCTTTCTCGTCACAAATCTGATCCATTTTTTAATCGAATTGTCACTTGTGATGAGAAATGGATCCAGTATGACAATCGCAAACGTTCAGTACAGTGGTTGGACAAGGATGAATCACCAAAACACACTCCAAAGCGAAATATTCATGAAAAGAAGCTGCTGGTGAATGTTTGGTGGTCTAGCGCAGGTGTGATCCATTATGATTTTATGAAACCTGGCTCATCGATCACAGCAGAAATATACTGCAACCACCTGGACGAAATGATGCAAAAACTTAAAGAAAAACAGTATAGATTGGTTAGCAGATCGACTTCTATCTTATTGCATGATAACGCTAGACCACACACTACACAATTGACTGTGGAAGAACTACAGGAATGAGAGTTGGAATTTCATCATACTCACCAGACCTAGCCCCCACTGACTACCACTCTTCCGCAATTTAGATAACTTTTTAATAGGAAAACAATTTAATTCCGACAATGCTGTAAAACTGGTCTTCCAGGAATTCATTGACTCTCGTCCGCCAGGGTTTTATACCACCGGCCTGAACAACCTGTCGCTTAAGTGACAAAAGTGTATATACAATATAGGTGCATACTTTGATGAATAAAATAATCCCTTATAGTTGTAAGTTATCAACCAACTTTGCCTTTTTTTATGCAAATTTTATCCTTGACGACCTGATATTTGTTAAACAACATAAAATATTATTGAATTTATTTTCTTTTTTTTTATTTTTTTTTCTTATTAACATTTCTTGTTATGTAAACAAAACCATTTAAATATAATATATTATTTACTTATTTATTATATAATAATATATAAATAATATATTATATTATATATATATTATTATTTACATATATATATTAAACGTACAAAGGCGATTTGAAAAGTTTGCGGCCTACCATATAAAGGTTAGTATCGCGTTTCTGTTTCTTATCGCATCGTGGCGCCACACTCGCCCTATGAACAGCTGTGAAGTATCAAAGTGATTTGCCCAGTTGTCAGAAATAGCTGATTAAATAAAATCACCTCAGTACATTGTTGAAAATGGAGAAAATTGAATATTGCCCAGTTATTAAATATTTCATTAAAAAAGGCTTAACACTAACAGAAATTTTTAATGAGATGAAAGGTGTATTATATAGATGATTCAGCATTTTTATTTGTTACAGTATAAAAGTAGGCTACTGAATTTAAACGTTTACAGTCGTACAAGTTTGAAAGATAACCTCTGTAGCGGGCACCCGAAAAGTGCTACTACACCAGAAATCATCAACAAATGCATGATATTTTGGAGGATCGCCAATTAAAGGTGTTTGAAATTGCTAAGGCTGTAGACATCTTAAATAAAAGGGTATATCATATTCTTTCCAAGAAGTTAGGTATGAGAAAACTTTCTGCAAGATGGGTGCCGCATTTGTTGACAATTGATCAAAAACACATCCGACTACAGACTTTTCAGGAATGTTTAGGCTGTTTTAAAAACAATCCGGAAGATCCGTAGATTTATGGCGATTGGTGAAATTTGGGTTCATTACCATACTCTAAAAACAAAACAATAGTCAAAACAATAGATGCATAGTATTAGGTGCACAAATGAATAATAATCCAAATGTTTTTAAGCAATTAAGAAATTAATTTTAAAATCAATTAATTTTCGCTCTCTTTTACGGTTATGTAGACATATAGCTATTAAAAATGTCATTTAGTATGATGGCCCAATATAACTTTTAAAAGTATTCAGTTCAGTAGAGTCAAACATAGCAACAGATAAAGTGCATATCCGACACTGTATTCTTTATGAATTCCAACAAGGAAAAAATGCTGCAAGAGCATACGAATCGATTTGTTCCTTTCTCGGCAAAGTGTCTCGGCAACAGGTGCACTGTTGTACTGGTGTACTGTGTACAGGTGTACTTCTGACTAAATTTCGACATAAAAATGACGAGAATGTGCTATAACATCAGATAGGTAATTGCGAAATATGTCGAAATTCTTTTCTCACAAGAACGAGTACTTTAAAAACACAATCCACGGTGATCATATATTAACATGGGTACATAGGAACATGGGTATAGGAAGCCATAAATTACTGAATAATCAAAATAATCAGATTCTACATGAACAAAGACATATCAAATATGTAGAATATATTTTTTTCTAATGAAGACTTAAGATATACAAATAAATGTGAAAAAATATTCACAATTAATATGTTATTTAGCGAGTAATTCGCACATTATGTATGCTTAAATCTTCTGAATATATATTCAAATAATTTTCACAGTCAAAATATATTCAAATAATATGTGTTCAAATAACATTTAACATACAATTAAAGGAGAGATTTTATTACGTATAAATTAATTCGGTGCCTTTGCATTTAATGTCCTACTAATGTGATTAAAAAGTATCCAAACTTTATTTTTTAAAAATCGCGGGAAAATTGTAAATCAAATTCGTTTGCTTTCTCAAGTTGGTACACATGTCCTTCACATTTGATGAAAAAACCATAGCGTTTCTTCAAGTCGTTTGAGAGTGGTAGTTGTTTATGTCAGTGAAGATTTTTGTGCGCGGCGATTTGTACGATGTCGAAAAATATGGAGCAAAGAATTTGTTTGAAATGTTGTGTTGCAAACAAAATTTCGTTCAAAAACACATTCAAAACGTTGCAAAATACTTATGGCAATGATTGTTTATCGAAAACAAGTACGTTTGAGAGGTTTAAGAAATTCTAAGAAAGCCGAGAATCTGTTGAAGACGACCCACGCTCTGGAAGACCATCAACATTAACGGATGACGCTCACGTTGAGAAAGTGAAAGAAAGAATTAGTGCTCGAAAATTGTCGATTGATTGTGCGAGAGATAGCAGATAAAGTTAGAATATCGTTTGGATTGTGCCAGCACATTTTGTCCAATACATTGAACATGAAATGGATCGCATCGCGCTTGATTCCGGTAAACCTGAATTTTCTCCAAAAAGTAAATCGAGTGTTGGTGTCGTCTGAGATAATTTTTACGGTATCTAGAAACAGCACATACATGAAACGGATCATAACTGGTGACGAAACATGAGTTTACCAATACGACGTCGAAACAACTCAACAAGCGTCGGAATAGCGTTTGAAAAATGAAGCAAGACCGAAGAGAGCTCGCCGTTTGCAATCAGAGTCATGCTCACAATTTTCTTCGATCATCGCGGTGTTGTGCACCAAGAATTCCTGCCCACTGGTCAAAAAGTCACTAGAGAATACTATTTGTTCGACATGAGGTGTTTGCGCGAAGCAATTTGTAAGAAATGATCGGAATTGTGGAAAACTAACTCGTGGATTTTGCATCACGACAACGCACCATCGCATGCCTCGACATTTGTGCGTGAATTTCTGACAAAAAATTTAACGAATGTCGTTCCGCAAGCACCGTATTCACCAAACATGGCCCTCTGCGACTTTTTCCTGTTCCCCATACTGAAAAAATCACTTCACAGATAGCGTTTCGAATCGATTAAAGACATCAAAAAAAAAAAAAATTCGCTGCGTGAACTAACGGCCAAAGTATCTGACACGTATGAGCGATGTTTCTAGGACTGGATCAAATGCTGGCATATGTGCGTTGCAAGCAATGAAGACTACTTTGAAGGAGATTATAAGAATTGAATTATAATGATTTAATTGTTATTTTGATTTTTAAAAATAAAGTTCAGATACTTTTGGATCATAATAATATAATTCTGATTAAAATTAAAATTTTTTTGCCATCTTATGGTGATTTGAAAGTGTCAACTTCAAGCTTTAAGAAACACTATAATTGACGGCCTTGTCGATATAACCTCAGAAAACAGTAATTATTACGATGTTGTTTGAAAAGAAGCATCTTAGGCACTGCATCCTTTTTGCACACCAATTGAATAAAAATATTGCTCAGTCTACTGAAATGATTTGTTTCACTTTGGGTGAAAATGCTTCATCTATAAAATTTGTAAAAAAACTTTTACCGGCAATGAAACTAGGCAAGTGATTCTGTTGCGTGATAACGCGCAGCTACATACCACAAAGAGGACGAAAGATCCCATCTACCAGGTGTATGCATAAGTTTTTTCCGGTTTTTTGGTTAAAAAAAACACGTAATTTTCAAGCGAAATTAATTTTTTTTAAATTCAAAATATTGGCCAACGGCTTCTACACATTTCGCCCATCTTTCAGGTAATTTATGAATACCATGCCAGAAAAACTGCTCGTCTTTTGCGGCAAACCATTCGTCGAGCCATTTTCCAACTTCCTCGAAATTGCTGAAATGCTGCTCAGCGAGCGCGTGCCCCATTGATGCGAAGAGGTAATAGTCAGATGGCGCCAGGTCTGGGGAGTACGGCGGGTGCGGAAGGATGTCCCATCCAAGCGATTTCAAGGTGTCTTTCACTGGTTTTGCTGTGTGAGACGGCGCATTGTCGTGTAACAAAATCACTTTGCCATGTCTTCTGGCCCATTCCGGTCGTCTTTTGATTAATGCGTGGTTTAAATTAATCATTTGTTGGCGATAGCGTTGTGTATTAACGGTTTCGCCGGGCTTCAAGAGTTCATAATACACAATACCGCTCTGGTCCCATCAGACACAGAGCATGGTCTTCTTGCCGAAGCGATTTGGCCTTGGTGTTGATGGACCGGCTTTGCCAGGTGAAAGCCACGATTTCTTCCGCTTCGGGTTTTCAAAATAAATCCATTTTTCGTCACCCGTCACAATTCGATACAAAAATTATTTCCTTTCGTGGCGTTGAAGCAGCATTTCACAAGTGACTTTGCGATTTTCCATTTGACGTTCATTCAAATTGTGTGGGACCCATTTACCGAGTTTATTGATCTTTCCCATTGCTCGTAAACGTCTGCTGATTGTTTCTTGTGATACATGTAATGCTTCTGCTAATTGCCGTTGAGTTTGAGTTGGGTCATCATCCAATAACTCCTGCAATTGCTCGTCTTCGCATTTTTGTGGTCTACCAGAGCGCTCACTGTCTTTCACATTGAAATCACCATTTTTAAATTGTCGAAACCATGTCTCACATGTTCTAATCGATGGAGCGTGTTCACCATATGTTTCTACCAGCAAACGATGACTTTCAACAGCCTTTTTCTTTTGATTAAATAAGAAAAGCAATGCGTGCCGCAAATGTTCTTTTTCAGGCACAAAACTCGACATGATCACTGAACGATAAAACAAAGACGCTAGTTTTTGGCGGACTCAACTTGTGTGTGTTTGTAGTTTTAAATGTCAGACGAACAAAATGACGTATGTGTCAAATTAATTCGCTGCGTACTTTTCGCTGGCGCCATCTCTTAGTTAAACCGGAAAAAACTTATGCATACACCTGGTATATATTGGACTAGAAAATTCTCCTTTATGCGGCTTATTCATCAAATCTAGTTGCGTCGGATTACCACCTATTTTGGTCGCTTCAACATCATCTGGCGAGTACGCATTTTAAAATACGAGGTCTGTTCAAAAAGTATCGCGAATTTTGTTTTTTTTCAAAAATTATTTATTTATTCATGAATATCTATTTTGTCCTCTTCAAAGTAATCCCCATCAGATATTATATACTTGTGCCAACGTTTTTTCCAATCCTCGAAGCACTTAAAAAAATAATTTTTTATGATCTTGTTCAGCTCCTCCTTCAATGCCGTCTTTATCTCCTCAATCATAGCGTAGCGTCGTCCTTTCATGTACCTCTTCAGTTTCGAGAACAAGAAGAAGTCACAGGGGGCCACGTCTGGGGAATACGGTGGCTGCGGCATTATTAGTGTGTTGTTTTTGGCCAAAAATTCGCGCACAAGCAACGATGTGTGAGCAGGGGCGTTATCATAGTGCAAAAGCCAATTTTTGTTCTTCCACAAATCCGGGCGTTTCTGGCGGATCGCTTCGCGCAAATTTCGCATAACTTGCAGGTAATATTCCTTATTGACCGTTCTACCCTGTGGCAAGAACTCATGATGCACCACGCTCCTGCAATTGAAAAAAACTGTAAACAAAACCTTCACATTCGACGGAACTTGGTGCGCTTTTTTCGGTCTTGGCTCGTGCGGCAGCTTTCTTTGGGATGATTGAGCTTTGGTTTCCACGTCATAACCATAAACCCATGATTCGTCACCAGTTATGACCCTCTGAAGCAAATTTGGGTCGTCGCGGACAGAGTCCAATAGCTCGCCAGCAATGTTACCCTTAGCGCTCCGTTGGCTCCGCTACGGAGACATCAGTCATTTGTTCGGTAATTCCGAAGGCTTCGCTGCGGAGCCGAATGTTTTTAGCATGATTACGTTTAAGATGCTACTTTGTCGTCAGCATTGGCAATTGTTACCTGTAGTTAAAACGTGCTAGGTCTGTACCATTACGATTAAACCATTTTTTCACCTTTTCTGTGGTTAACAATATGGAGAAAAATAAATATTATGATGAGAATTTAGAGCTGAGTGATACTGAAGACGTATTTGACTTTCAAGTGTTAAAAGATATTGTGGAAGATAATGTTGGTTATGATTCTGACGCATCAAGTAGTGGTAGCGAAATTATACTACCAAAGAGACGAAGAATGAGAATTATTGAAAGTGAAACAGAAGATTCGTTACAATATTTAGATGAATGGCGTGATGTTACGGAAAAATTAGATATGCCAGATAGAATACCTTTTAGTATATTGCCACAGGTCATTGGACCACAAGTTCCTACAAATATTGTACAGCCGATCCAATATTTTAAATTATTTTTAACGGACGAATTGGTAAATGAAATTTTAAAAGAAACCAACAATTACGCAAAAAATGTTCTAAAGTTGAAAAAAATATCTAGTAACTCTATTTGGCAAACGTGGCGTGATGTGGAAAAGGATGAATTTTGGGCTTTTATTGGAGTTATTGTCAATATGGGTACGATACATCTGGCAAATATGCAAGAATACTGGACGGTTAAGGAAAATAGTAGGATTCCTTTTTTTAGTAACACATTTACAAGAAAGAGATTCAACCAGATATTTTGGATGTTGCATTTGAAAACACCTGATCCTGCCAAAAATGATATTAGAACACTTATTCAACGAGCAAGTAATTTTTTAGAATATATAAATTCAAAATTTTCGGACTATTTTATACCTGGAGAAAATATATGCGTTGACGAATCTGTAATAAAATTTAAAGGAAAAATAAGTTTTATTACGTACAATCCCAATAAACTTACCAAATGGGGCATTCGGGCATACGTTTTAGCAGATTCAGAAATAGGATATGTGTATAGCATCCTTCCATGTTATGGAAGTATCACTTCCGAAAATCTACCAAGGCCAGATTTACTGGTCAGTACCAGAATTACCTTGCATCTGTACCAACAATTACTGAATCGGGTACCTACCGCAAAAGGATATCACATGCATACCGACAGGTATTACACTAGTATACTTTTAGCTGAAGAATTGAGAAAAATGAAGTGCCACTTGACTGGTACCATACAAATAAACAGAAAAGGTGTTCCAACAACTCTGAAGAAACCAAAATTAGATGAAAAAAGGACTGTCGCATACAAACAAGGAAATACAATGCTCTTTGCTTGGAGGGATAAGAGGATAGTATCGTTATTGAGCAACTGGCATAATGCTGAAATGATAACTACTAGAAGATTTATACGAGGTGGTACAAATGAAGTAATTGAAAAGCCAAGTGTAATTGTCGGATATACAAAGTCGATGGGTGGAGTTGATCGGGCTGAACAATATGCCTCTAGTTATTGTTTTTTGAGGAAATCGCTTAAGTGGTGGCGAAAATTTTTTCTCCGGGGAATGGAGATATCAATAATTAATTCATACATTTTCTATAAAACTGTACAGCATTATACAAGTGAGAAAACATTGACGCATTTACAGTATAGAAAAATTTTAGTCGATCAACTTATAGGAAATTTTCATGACGATAGAACAAGAGTTTCTACATCCATTTCTGAAATCAGGTTAAACAGAAAACTTCACATAATGAGAAAAGATGCAAAAAGACACTGCGTTGTGTGCTCTAAAAGGAAACAAATAGATGGCAGACGTCAAAAAAGTGATTACTGCGACACTTGCCCAAGTAAACTTAGAATGCACATGGGAGATTGTTTCCAAAGATATCACACCATGGTAAATTACAAAATTTAAAATTTATCTTTTATTTACAATAAGAAAATGTATATTTATAAAATAAATAAAATGAAATGCATTCATAAGGACGTGTAATCTTTTCCGCTCAAAATAAGACTTCCTTTATCTCGGGCGATCCGCTCCAAAAATGTGCCGGAGTTGCTGGTAGGCAGTACTCGAGAAACGCGGGGAGCGCTAAGGGTTAATGCGATGCTGTTTTTGATCGAAATTGAGCAATTTTGGTACGAAT